AAGCGTGAAGAACAATAGTTGCCAGTATCTCGAATAAACGGGGCTACCCTCAGCTCTTTGTTGACAATACGTTACGCCACATGCAAAGACCTCGCTTGAGTAGGAAAAATAAGCAACATACCATGTGTACATCTCGTATGTTCGCAGTGTGCCGGACGCAGTGAGTATATGGTCCCTGCGGCATTTGAGTGTTCGGACTGTTTTTAAGCCGAAACGCACTCAGGCGAATGTGTTACTAAAACCAAAGGACCATACAAGGTCGACTACATGGTCGACAAGGTCGACTGCTTAGACTATATACAAGGTCGACCGTATGAATTGTGAAGCACCTACATCGGCGAAACGGGGCGACGACGTCGTACCCGTCTCTAGGAACACGCAAGAGACGATACAAAGCCTTACATGAAACTCGAGCTAAGACAGAATTAGTTGACTACTGTCTGACGAAAGGACACGTGTCTTATCTCGATCACGGAACAACGCTGGCGCGAAAACGATGATGGGGTCCAAGAGAGGTTGTGGAATCACAGTTAATTCATCGTAATCAATCTTCACACAGTAATAATTGTGGCTCTCTACCGGATGTTAACGGCAAAGTATAAGTGTGATGTATTCCGTCGTCTGATGCCATTGGTGCACAGACGACGCCACCCGCATGGGTGGTGAAACGTCTTTGTTTTTTTTTGTTTGCAATGTGAGGGATAAAAAAAAATTTCGAGCTGAACTCCCCTGGCTTTTGAAATACTATATAGTATTTTTGTATGAACACCTATAGAGTTTCACTTGCATGGCCTACTGTCTCTGAAGTGTACTATTAGTGCTAAATATTTGCTTTATACGTAAAGTGAACTTTGCTTTGCCCAGTCCGGAAAACTGTATAACGTCTTAGTATTCGTTCATAAGCCGGGTGCTTCAACAAATGTTTAAAATTCTCTTTGCGAAACGCGATATTGGTTTGATGCCTTCACAATTGTTCTCTCATCATGGGCATTCTAGGGTGTTCGATTGAACATTTGAAACAGGAATTAAAATTTGTGATTCAGATTTCTTTTTGTTGCAAGTCGCGTTTGCCTAATTAAGTCCTTCCTGCAGAGAATCCGTTGTGACATTGAGATTACAAAAAATAACCGGGCCTCTTGTGATAATTGCGAAGTAATAAAATTCAACCAAATTTAGCAATGGGACTGACAGCAAAAACACAAAAGAATGAAAATAAGCAGATTTCGTGTGAGGCTTCTAATATGAGTGAGGATCGCTATATCCATTGTCAACCAACTCCTTTGGGCGGCTGTGAGGGCTATAGTCCTACAAATATTAGTCGTATGACACACATACGTTAACGCACGTGAAACAACTACACCTCTGTAATCGTTATCTTGAGCAGTTGCATCATTTTGATCGTCTGCTTGTTTCGCTCAATGGTGTTTCGGTTTCTGTTTCCACATTGGATGTTGATTGGTTTGTTACAGCACAACTTGAGGCCACTTCTTCTACAAATGAATTACGGCAGCTCGTTTGTTCAATCAAAGCTAGATGGCACCACCGCATGAAGACCTACCTTTTCTGTGGTCTTTGGCAGTGCCAGAGCCCCATCCCCAACGCGTTTTTGCACGACGTCGTCTTAGTACACTCGTTGGGCAAGTAAAAGCAAGCAGGCGGCAGCGCAGAATAACAGTGAACGCGACACACATGCGAACGCGATTTTCTTCCACCTTTTATTTAGAACGTCATAATCATGCACTGAGTAACCATTAAGATAAAAGCGTTTGCTTTTGTTTGCTTGATATTGCCAACCTATTCCCGAACGATGGTCTAGTGGCTAAGGCACTCAGGTGGTGACACGCAGGTCGCGGGATTGAATCCCGGCAGTGGCGGCTCCATTTTCTATGGAGGCGAAAATTCTTGAGGCCTAGGGGCTTAGATTTAGGTGCACAATGAAGAACCCAATGTGTTAAAAATTTCCAGAGCCCTCCACTACGACGTCTCTCATATGTGATAGTTTGAGACGTTAAACCATCACAATTATACTAATATTATGCTTGATATTCTTGTCCTGGAGGTTCGAAAGCAATCCATTCACCGGTATTACATTGTTTCCCGGAATAATTCTCTAATTATTTTTCAGAGACAGGTTTAGCAAGTGTGGCTAAATCAATGCAGAATATCTCAATAATGACGCTGTTACATGCTTGATGTTCATTCCCGTTGTAATATTACCCAAAGTGGTAATCGATCTTGTCATTTACTCATTCCTGTATAGACAGGGGCTAACAGCAAGTGCCAGTTCGGGCTGAAAAGGGCGGTAAAGTCTGCGTGCCTGCTGCCATGTTGCTGTAACCCCAACTAATCGCAGTGTCCGATACCGCAAATAAATGCCTTCATAATTAATTCGAAGTAGAATAAACACTTCATGTATTGCTGCGGCATAACTAATCCAAATGTCCCCAGGTGGTTGAAATTTCTGGAGTCCTTCACTACAGCATCTCTCGTAATCATATGGTGGTTTTGGGACGTTAAACCCCACATATTAATCAATCAATTAATTCAAATGTCATTTCTATAATAGGACGGTTAGTTGGGGCAGTTGGTTAGGATCCATCGTGAACCTACTTACAGCGCAACACCAGAAAAAATACAGGACAGGGAAGGAGCAAACAAGAAAGAAAAAGAAAAGACGGCGCTGACTCACAACTGTTGTTTATTGGAAAAAACGGGGTGTAAATTATATATATATATATGTATATATAGGTGCAGGCAGCCTACATCACAACATGCGCAGAATACGAGGTGCACCGGAAAGGCATGTCTTCCTTGTGCGATTTCAACGTAAAGAAAACTTCTAACTTCAGGTTCTTCGCCCTCTTTACGCTGGCTGCCAAACGTTGCAGATTCATTCTTTCTAACAAGGAAAGTGCTCGGTGTTTTACTTCTGTGGCCTTAACACTGACACGCCTGAAATTTTTCTTAACTGCGGCCTCGCTCTTCTGTGAATACGCTTCAGAATTCATAATGGCAAAGTATCCTTCTTTGTCGGCTACTAGTACATGCAGCTTGTTTTAACAAAGAAAATCAACTAGTGGCCTTTGTGAGTCCCTGCCCTCCCGCACCTTTCCCGTTCTGGAAATGGTATCTACACAGTCCGAAACACACCTTGAACGTTCATCTTCCTTGGCACACCTTGAGACCGCCCTCGCTATGGCTACCTTTTCAAAGGGATTCAGACGGGGCTCGAAGCAGTACTTCGGGCTAAGTCCCCGCACCCTTTCATGTTCCTCCGGTATTGGCGTTGCGCTAAGGTTGAGCACATGGCCCTGTAACAAGTTTGCTTTCTTCTTCACCGGAAGCGTCGGACGTACAATGCGCCAGAGGAACTCGCTTCCAGGAATCGCGCGACTTCATCTGCCAGAACATTGCAGGTCATGCGGTTGTCGTCCCATTTTTGAGAGAACCACCATCATATTCAAGCATCCTAACCAGCTAACAAGAGAAATCGCTGAGGCATATCATATAAACATTAGGGGGAGCAAGTGCGTTAGTGAACCATCCGTCACACTGCATGAAAAATAGTTAAGTTATTTAGGCCAATCTTGTTTATTGCCATGAGTGGTATAATGCTACCTCGGTGCACCTCGTATTCTGCGCATGTAGTTATGTAGGCTGCCAGTACCTATATATATACTTTTCACCCCGTTTTTTCCAATAAACAACAGTTGTGAGTCAGTGCCACCTTTTCTTTCTCTTTTGCTCCTTCCCTGTCCTGTATTTTTTCTGGTGTTGCGCTGTAAGTAAGTTCACGATCATTTCTATAGGTCTTTTCGGTTTTGCTGCCCAAGCATGTGAGTTGGTTACACCCTGGTGCAGCCAGCATTTGTGATACGGTAACTGCAGCTTTTCTGGCCCAATGCGTGGGCGCACGCTGACAAAGTCAAGATAAGATCAAATGATCAAATATGACCGCGCCGATGCACTGCGGCGGGAGGTTGTCTATAAGATGGTCTATATCTCAAAGCAGCGATTGGTTCTAATCAAGAATTTTCGGCATCACCAACTAAGTTCATTATTTAGAAGTTTGTAATTCATATTTTATTATTTCTTGCTCTAAATGATGACTTTAGCCATTTCAAGAATCCTGTGCCTAGAAGTAGTTATTGTAAAAGCTCTAAAGGGATATCACATTTTTCTCTTTTTTTTAATTCTTAAAACACCAGATATATTATTGCTATATTTAAAAGACACGCCTTTTCAATCTTAACCCAAATTTAGCTGTAGATTCACAATAGAAATCTAGATATGGCATCAGCTGCTTCCAAGCAGCACTAAAACGCTGCCTATAATGCTGCAGTAGCACGTGAAATTTTGCAATAAGTACTCAAGTGGCAGAATTTAGGCGAACGAAATCTTGATTGAAGTGCATCTTCGGCATTTGCGTGCGTACAGATTGGCATATGGTTGTAGGAGTCTAGCGAGTTGACAGTAACTAAAGGACTGGCTTGATGAAGGTTATTTCACATGAATGCTAGCTACGTAGTCTGAGAGAGTGAGGTGATTGATTGATCGATATGTGGGGTTTAACGTCGCAAAAGGACCATATGATAATGAGAAACGCCGTAGTGGAGGGCTCCGGAAATTTCGTCCACCTGGGGTTCTTTAACGCGCACCCGAATCTGAGCACACGGGCCTACAACATTTCCACGTCCATCAGAAATGCAGCTGCCGCGGTCGGGATACGAACCCGCGACCTGCGGGTCCGCAGCCGAGTACCTTAACCACTAGACCACAGCGGCGGGGCCAGAGTGAGGTGATAGGACGCAGATTACATGTCTGTGTATGCAGGCTCATCTGAAAAAAATACGTTAAATAATATCGCGTCAATGTCGCTTGAGAGTACTGATTTTGACATTTTTTCAAACGGCAACTCTTGTGCCTTTAATATTCTCATGACTCGCAGTTTTCATGTGTTGTCACATAATATTTTTTTCCGTGTTCTTTTTTTATTTCAGAGTAAACGTGCCACTTATGAATATGGAAGAGTTTGCGACTGCATTCCAGTGCGCATCTAAAAAGCCGATGAACCCTTCAGAACGATGCTTTTTCTGGACATGAGAAGTCACCGGTGCACTCACTTTTCACGCCACTATGTCTGAGGCGTGATGTAACACTTTCTTACGAAATTCAGCGTTCTTATTACAAAAACACAAATATACGTTATCTTAGCGATACTCTTGTTGCTGGTTAATAAACGTTCTGCAAAAGGACATCACGCGAGTTCTTGAGCAGAGAAAAACGTGCCCCCTCCTCATATGGGCCCAATGCGATATTGAAGAGTTCTACGAGAGCACGTGCGGTGCACATTAACGCGATAGCGGTAAAGAGCTCGTTTCGCCGAAATGCCGGCTTTGGCGACGTTGGTTGTGCGCTGAAAATTGTCGTCTCGTTAGTGACCACAAAATCGAGAAATATGCGAATGAAATAAATGATCATTGCAAGCGTGATGTAGCACTTTTTTACGGAATTCAGCATTTTTATTACAAAAACACAAATTTACGTTATCTTAGCGATACTCTTGTTGCTGGTTAATAAACGTCTTTGAGACGTTAATAAGCGGACCGTTAATAAACGGTCCTCGAGAAGCTCAAACCCAGGGTATTTGTGTGGCAAGCATGGCAAGCAGGCGTCTTACAATATAGCCACGCGTATCGTTAGAATGCAGTCAAAATCACTTTCTGTGCATGTAAATGTAGTGAAACAGTTTTCATGAATGACGAACACACGCATCCTGTATACAGCCTTCACTGTACGTGTGATATTGCAGTAACATTGCGGGGTGCAAGCGTACTTTACCGTCCAGCGTCAGACCATGCGAATCTCATTACAACTTCATGGTCCAAAGCCGGCTGAAAATACAAAAGCCATCCACATTACTGTGCGCATTCTCTTATGACCTGCTACTGGGTACGTAGAGAACTCGAAAAGATAATAAGCGCTTAATTTCATGTGGTTTAAAGCATGCTACTCATTACAGAGAATACAGCCTTTGCGAATGCTTCACCGACACGAGCCACTTTCGAAGTTATCAATCACATTGTAGTGATCCAAAAATATAAACTTATTGCGTTAAATCATACAATAAAAATGGAAGCATATTCACGGAGTGAATAATATTGAGTGGGGCGAAGCGCTGAAGGCAATCATCACTAAACTGTGACCCATCCGCGAATAACGCTTACTACATCATCAAAGACATGACAAACTCTGTATATATTTATACAAGAAATAATTCTTCGTAAGTGGCACCCATACGTCACTTCCGTGCTTCCTTCCTTATAACGGCTTTATGGTCGGTGAAGTGGTAGATTGGTTCAGGGGCGTAGTGGGATGTTTGCGAGGACGAAGTAGGGGGCAGTTGGAAAAGGTGGAACTTAAGGCGGTCACATACAATCAAGGAATGGACACAGTGGCACCATCTGTGTTTTTTTAACGCGTACCTGGATACAAGTACACGATCATCTTGCATTTTATATTGGCCAGTTCTCAACAGTATTTTCTCTATGGTCTGTAAAGTGGTGGATCGTTGATGGGGAAGTGGGGAGTGGGGGGTACTGGGATGTTCAAGCACTTACGATGTAGCAGGCCTGTGTGCTCAGATTTGGGTGCACGTTAAAGAACCCCAGGTGGTCGAAATTTCCGGAGCCCTCTACTACGGCGACTCTTATAATCATATGGTGGTTTTGGGACGTTAAAAGCCACATATCAGTCAATCAACATCAAAGCACGAAGTCGCGGTCAGTTTGCAAAGGTAGAACTATAGGCAGTCATGTACATACATGCAAGGAAAGGACAGACCTTTGTATTTAGGAGCTTCGCCTTTAAAAAGTGTGCACTAAGTGGTTGAAGTACGCACCACGGACAGAATATTGCTGTCGTTTTCAATGCTCAAAGGCGAAGCCTAATAATCCCCAAATTCTGCCAGCCTCTTGAACCATGCGCGTGTACACCGGACCAAGAGAAAGAAGAGGATCTCTTTTTGCTTGGGCTTTGGGCTCAACCGGCCAGTGCTGAAACCGCTGCCGTAAATATACGGAGTAAATAGTCTACAGACTACAGTACACTGACTCGTCATTCACGTAAAAATAGTGTAAAAAGTGTGATGTTGTGGCTAGAATTCTTACTGATGAATTTAAACCAACGATCACAGTGTTTCAACAATGCCTCTTCTAGAAAGATGCCTGTGACGTCACAGCCTTTTCTATGGGAATGGGAGGTTCCTAGTGGCTCAGTGCTTTCTCCGCGAGGAGCGCTTGCAGCTGACACAACTAGTTCCATTGAATTTGGAAGTGATGCCATCACGGAGTCATGACTGTGTTGCCTCCAGGACGGGATTGCTGTTCTCTCAGAGGGCGCGAGGTTTCAAGCGCCAGCGCCAGCAGGCGCTCGCAGCCGACTCTGTTCGGGGGAGCGGAGAAGAAGGGCCGGGAACCATGTTTTCGGCTCACGTCACCGCCATCTTTGTGGAGGAGGCATTGGCTTCAATTATTGTTAGACGGACGTCACATCTTCATCGAGAAGCTTTTCTCACCGCAAACTCACGCTGTACATGGGGTACCACAAATACCTCAAGTCCACTAACCACGAGGCTATATAACCTGCCCATTTATTTTGTCATTATTGAGGTCACTGCAGCGGAACGTCCTACATTTCATCGGTGCTACATTTCATTGATTGCTTCTATACTGTAAAAGTGTAAGTGGATTTTCTTCGAAGTGAATTGGCCCGAACAGTGTTCAGTACCTCAATACTGTTTTACAAATTCTACCGACATGTTCTTTTACTTTCTTTCTTCTTATTTTTTAACCCCTTTCCTCCAATGCAGGACTGCAAACCAGGCGTACGTCTGGTTGACATTCCTGCATTACTTACTTCCTTGAATAACTCCTCTTTTTTCTCCAATAAATTTACACTGAAGATGTGTAGAAACTCAATCTTCATGTTGGTCCCTACAACACAGGGCCTATAAAAACAAAAACCATATAAAAAAGGTACAAAACAAAGAATATTGCACATTTATGAAAAAAAAAACTTTCGTTTTTCGTAATGCCCCGGTGCTATTTTGTTGACAATATTTTGAAAATAACTAAAAGAGACACGTCTACATTATCTAGCATGTTGACAAATAACACAAACACGCCGAAGAAACTTGAGCAGGTGTACCTAGTTCTGCTGTGATAACTTTCTACATGCCTAGTAAGAAAGTGACATGGGGTTATGCAATCAGCTGCCACATGTGTAGAGCGAATAATGCAAGTGCTTTGTCAAGTGGAAGCATTACAGCCCATAACAGCTGTGCCGCCATGGTACACGTACGGCTTTCCGCTTGAACTCTGTGATCCCACAATTAAGCGATCATCTCACCGCAAGCGGCGTTCCACAGCCCTTTGCAGGAAGGTGCCGTATGTTCTGGGTAAGTTCTATTTTCTCCAAAAATGGAAGCTGCTCACAGAAGATTATGAAACGCTAGTTACACGTCTGACAGTGTGAGCGTTCTGTTAAAATTTAAGTACGTTGAGGGGTTATTGGGTATCTCATACCTTGACTACAATATGGTAAATAATAGACGAACCAAACCATTTTAAGAGTATGGTCTGAAGAAGCATGTAATACAACTGGTATATGTGATAAATAAGCTACGAAGCTTTCATTCTCCATAGTGCGTTTAGCACAAAATAAAGCATACATTTCCTATTCTGTAAGTTTTATATAGAAAATTTGCTGATTCTATGATTGAGCAGTCTGGCCGATATATTGCGTCCCACTTTGAACCTTAGCTCGATGAGAATCGCTCAACTGACATAACCGTGTGCTTATCTTATAGCATCCATACCTATTTTTGAAAGTGCTGCAAGGTAATTTTCCTGTATTTTCCTTCTCTCTATTTTTCTCTCTCTCTTTTGTTAGTAATACGTTTTCTCGGAACTTCATGCTTTTAAACGTTATCTTGGAGTACAAAATGTGCAAACCAAGTTTGCTAGGTCGTTCTTCCGTAGCGTGTATTGCTAGGGGCGTGAACGTTTCTTTATCCTTTTTTTTTAAATTACCACAGCGTTTTCTATGGCTGCACAAACATGACCGTAAGGCAAATTAAAACCATTGCATGCCACAGATATATTGTTTGCCATACGAGTATTTCTTTGCACGAGAACGGCTTGGTGAGAAAATGCGAGGGCAAGTAAGAAATTGTCTACACTTTTGTCAACATAGTTCTGAGGCTGCGCAGTTAGTCTGCTGTCCTCGCATATAATATTGTTGTACTGATATCACAGTGCTCTGAAAGCTTAACCTTAATTTCTTCATTTTTAACCCTCCAGTTGTTGATATATTCCTGTTGCTCCGATAAAAGTTTGCACCAAAGAGAAACGCCGCGCAATCAATCAATCAATCAATCAATCAATCAATCAATCAATCAATCAATCAATCAATCAATCAATCAATCAATCAATCAATCAATCAATCTATCAATCAATCTGATTTTTAATGACAGCCAAAGAAAAGATTACAAGATATTTGGACCGTTAGCCTACATTGGCTAGTGATCGGTTCATATCGGAGTGCATAAAAGCAGCTTAGCAGAGCATCTTTAGCAATAAACACATATATACACGATTATTTATACATATAACTATTCACATATGCACATACATACTACATACATAGGCGCGTGAACACATATGCATTTTCACAAAATACCCAAATATAGTTTGTTTCAACATCAAGAAATACATTGACATCAAGAAATGATTTCAATCCATATATAATAAGTGACTGGGAAAAGCACTGATTAGCGAAAAAAAAAAACTACATATGTCTTGATGCTGCAAGCAAAATAATTTCACACTGTGCCTAAAATTTCTTGCCACTTTAACTTCTAAGGGTAGTCGGTTCCAAATTTTAGTCCCATGAAATTCTGCGTGTTCTGTGGTCGGAAGTTGTGGGAGGTTCAAGTATTCATGGCAAATTCTCCTGGAAATATGGAAGACTTGTGCTATCATTTAAAACTGTGTTTGGGGGGATCAAGAAACGGTGATTTGCAACAGACGCAACAAAGAATTCGGGACAAACGCCGATTGATGTTTGTTGTCGAAGAAAGTTTTGTTGCATGACACTGCACGGTCACACACAGCTCATCAAACTATTTAAAACATCAATAAAGTAAAATTTCAATAATGAAAACACCCTTCCTAGCACCGAGAAGTAGTTA